AATGGGTGACGAAAAACACGAGCAACGGATCAATGTGAAATTTTTCGTTAAATTAAAAAAAAACTCCGACTGAGTGCTATAAGTTGTTGAAAGAGGCCTATGGTGAGAATTCTCTATCTCGTGCGCGTGTTTTCGAATGGTATTGTTACGTAAAAATTAGTCATATTAAAATAAACCTGTAAACATGTTGTTTATTTACTAAATATGTTGTAGAATGGACGAGATCTTTCGATCAGCTGCCAGACATATACCTGAAACGGCCGTTCGAAGTTTCCAGAGAAACCGATCGAGTGATAACCCGGCTTAGAATTATCAGAGGGATTCTCCTGAACTCTCGAATAGCTGTATTTTCAAATAAATAACGGAAGATTTTCATTGAGAAGTCAGTAAGAAGATAAATTCGGGCCGCGTATTTGAATGTACGAATGTAATTGATAATAAATTATTTAAGTGTAAAATAAATTAGTAGGAAATAAAGACTTTAATAAATTATCGTGAGTTTTAATAAATAAATTATAACTATAAAGACAATAAATTAGAACTATAAAAAAAATATAACAGTACAAAAGGTTTTCTGAAGTTCGAGAGAGCACCGAGGATGACCAACGTCCAGATCGACCTGTCTCTGTTTCAACTCCGCAAATAGTGACCAAAATAAATGAAATTGTGCGCGTAGATCGTCGTATGAGTATTCGGATGATTGCTGAGACTGTAAACGCCAATAAAGAAAAATTTTACATGACGAATTGAACATGAAGAAAGTCTGTGCGAAGTTAAAATTTGACCCCTGACCAAAAGCTCGTCCGTCAACAGATCTGCTCAGATTTTCTTCAGCGGTTAGATGAAGAGCCTGAATTAATGGAAAACATCATCACTTGCGATGAAACCTGGATATTAAAATACGATGTTGAAACTAAGCGGCAATCCATGCACTGGAAAACTCCTGCATCGCCGAGAATGAAAAAAGCAAGGATGTCGAAATCAAAATTTAAAGCCATGCTAATCGTTTTTTTTCGACATCAACGACATCGTGATGACTGAATGGGTTCTAGAAGGTCAAACTGTAAACCAAACTTACTATTTGAAAGTTTTGGCAACGCTCCGAGAGCGAGTTCGTAAGAAACGGCCGGAGTTGTGGAAAAACAAATCGTGGATCTTGCACCAGGACAATGCACCTGCCCATAACTCGATGTCTGTGAAGCGTTATTGAGCCACTAGAGGCACTCCAGTGCTCGAACACGCGCCGTACTCGCCTGATTTAGCACCCTGTGACTTTTTCCTGTTTCCGAAGATCAAGTCTGCCTTAAAAGGAACCCGGTTCGAGTCGATGGAAGAGGTGAAGCGAAAATCGGCAGAGCTCCTAAATGCTCTTACAAAAGAAGACTTCCAGCACTGCTTTGACCAATGGAAAAAACGAATGAAACAGTGTGTGGCGAGGGAAGGGGAGTATATTGAAGGGGATCATTCGATTGTAGAATAATTTTTAAAATAAAACTCTTTTTCATAATCAGTCTTGTTATTTAATAGCCAGACCTCTTATACCCTTAAATTGTATTGAATTATATTATTATTATTCTGAAGCTATTTTCTTGTAGCATCTTAACGCAATTTACTATTTTGGAAATAAGCCACAATTTTACTTTAAAATTAAGTTATTACTAACCTTTTTCAGTTTTTTGGTTTTCTTCAAATGGGTTTATTTTATTTCCATGTTTTTCTATTTCAGTATTTATGGGACATTTCTTTAAGTCTAAATAATTATATCTGCCATGTGAAGTGTGTGGATTGGATTCCTCTGGAATTTCACATTTAAAGCCATCCAAAAGAGAATCATTAAACTCTATTTCTAGTTTACACGTTTTGTCGCTAAATTCTTGTTTTGGTGCTTTCATTTGATTACACTTGATTTTATGTATCCAAATTATAATTTTAGGCCCAAAAAGCAGAATCACTATAAAATTCGGGGCAAAAGTATAGTCATAGCATCTCCCTGTTGCAGCGCAACATGCGTTTCAAATGCCTGTGATTGTTCGCCCTGTATTTCGACTTTGCAAACAAATTTAAGCATTATAGCCCTAACCAATCTTATCAGTTTATCGGGGATGTGGAATTCATCTATGGCTTCATACAATTTATTTCTTAGGACAGTATCTAGGCTGATTTAAAACCTATGAAAAGATGGTATGTGTTGATATTGAATTCATTTATTTTTTCCAGTATTTGCCTTAACACAAAGATCTGGTCTGTTGTTGATCGACCAGGCCTAAAACCACTTTGATATTCGCCAAGAAGCTCCTCTGAATATGCACTCAGGCGACTATATAAAATACTTAAAAATATTTTGTATGCTGTATTAAAGAGGGTTATTCCCCTATAGTTTCTACATTCAAATAGATCACCCTTTTTGTGTAGCGCGCAAACGATCCCAAGTATACCAAGGAAAAAAGAAACTTTCCGTACAATTTTTTTTCAAAAACTTGTTTACAAATCCAATCCAAGTTAATGGGTTAATATAATTATAATGGATAAATAAATATTATCTAATTATATGCAGCTTAATCAGTGATATACCACTGTATAATCAGTATTTAAACAGTAAACCATTTTATTAATGACAATACATACCTTACTTCATCCTTAGGCAATGTAAACAATTATATTCCTTCACCGGTCTTAGATGAACACCCTTCACAAATACACGTGTATCCAACCATTTTTAAAAATATATCACCATTATTTAAATTTAACACTTAAAATAGAAAAAAATCCCAATAAGCAGCCCGTCAATTTACCACTACGATATAAGCGCATGTACGGTCTGAATTACAGTGTAATTATTCAAGAACAGATAAGAAGCTTGAGCCTACATACTAACTCAAATCTTCTTTGGGTAATTGAGAGTGGGTGGAGTTTACTAAAACTCGGTACCCAGGGTTAACGCGATTGTTTCGCATTTGTGTGTTCTGTTAATCTGTGACCTGGTTTAACCAAAAAACTTTTTTTTTATTTTTTTGGAAAAACCTTGATTTTTACCAACCCTGATATCCAGTCAATAATGTAAAAGAGATATTTGTTGAAGTTATACTGAATAATCAATAGTATATTTTTAGAACAGTTTATTTACCAACCAGGTCACCAATGTAAAGTTATATACACCCTGTGAATGAGCAAACATTTGTCAGTCATTTGAAGCAACATGTATAATAACAAACTGGGAGGCTACATTGAGTATCCTAACAACTCTAGTGCTTTGGTAGTTTGTGAATACTTTTCCTTTCCCAATCTTAGACAAAAAATAATTCATCTAAATGATAACTGTAGATATTTAGATGACTTTTACACATATGTCTGAAGCTGAAGTAGTATCAGCTATAGAGGTATTAATTGTTGTACATAATAACCACTTGGCAATTATCCACTTTTCCAATTATCCAAGCTATTCAAAAATTCTATAAAATTCATGATATGGCTCTAAATCTCATTGTCCAATATTGTCCATAAAAAAATGATAACAAATTCTAATTATTGCAAAGCTGTTCTAATTTAAAAGATTTAATTGTAGAAAAAAAATACTTCCAAAGGAAATGTGATACTGATTACCAGTTATTTTCTAATCTTAGCTCTAAATGTAAAATTGAGACTCTCGCAGTATATTAAGAATGAATAATCTCAGAGAGAATTCATCAAAAATAATACAATAAAATTCTAGTATACAAGTCAGTGATAAATTGATTAAGCCAAAATATATGAAGAATTTTCATAACACTTTATTGATAAAAACATGTAATTGGTGTATTATGGATGCTGATATATATATTCTACGTTTCACAAACATATATTAATTACAGAAGATTACAGCATTGCTGTAAAAAATATTGAACATGACCTGCACATATATCTGCAGCGTATAATGAGATTTATGCTACAAACTACTTTGTTCTCTAAGGTGTAAGGTGCATTATGTGCAAATAATGCATAGGTACAAGGAAAAAAAGTGTTGCCTTAAGTGATAACTTAAAGAGTTGCTGAAAAACTCTTTTGAAAGAGTTGCTTGAAAAAAGAAAATAGGGGGATTATATTCTTAGTGTATGGGTACACTCTAGTGTATTGTTGACAACATTTTCTCACAACTTATGGGAATAAACATGAACAATAAAGCAAAGGAAAAAAGATACAGTGCAGAAATATGTGATGATTTAGACTCTGGAAATAAAAACATAACTAGAATGAGCACAGTAGAGAATCCAGGTTCAGACTTATTTTCTATTCAAAAACATTTGAGCTTTTGCCTCTGTCCTCCAGTTAGATAGAACAGTCAAAACGGATACCACTAGACACTAGGCAACACACTGGACTAGAGACCATACCATGGGGTTCTGAGAAAAACTGGAGTGCAGCCAAAGAAGTGATCAATCATGATAAAATCAATTAGACAACAGTCATATAAATGACAAAGCCCATATGGAATTCCATATTTCTACAGGAAAAGAAATAAAATTCTTCTGTACAAAAAATTATGTAGGATACTACAGGCTAGGTTACAACTGGGATACATAAAAATAGTATGAAGGCTCACAAGTTTTTCATAATAGTAGCATTTATATCTATCTAAACCTTTCAATGTAAACTGGATAGGAAAAGCTGAGCCTGTTAGGGCTGACATTATTTGTACCGAAAACCTAATTAAACCCAATGTAACCTCTAGCAAGTTAATAGAGACAATATGGAAATTACAGTAAATTATTATGGCAATGTTTTTTCAGAAAAACAATATTTTTAAAATATGGCAAAATAAAAAAAAATAAGCATAGTGCAATAAGGGACATTATCAAGTCTCTTACTATACTCCCTAGAACCTACTAGTGAGCAGATATTAAAATTTCTGAGAAATATGTTTTTTTTTATGAAACTATCACAAACTAAATGTAGGAAAATTTATCTATAATAGATTAAAATGAAATCTATAAAAATTAGTTCTCTATTTTTATTACTTCTCTCACCTGAGTTATCTTCATCTGCCTTATTAATCAAGTCTTCATCTGGGGATGTAAATAGCTGACTCTCTAAAAAATTATATCCTTGACAACCTTCAGCAAACTCTTCCTTAATTTTAGCTTTTGATTCCATTTCTAATAAATACAAATTACCTACATCACATTATTTAACACTTAATGTTTACTACAAGGTTATAAGCATATTATAAGGTAAAACTCTGGATCCAATTTACTACTTTGTCTTACCTGAGTCATCTTCTAGTTCTTTTTGGAAGTTTTTCAGACCTATGGATGTGGATGGCTTGCTCTCTATGTTTTTTTGGTTACATTCAACAAAATGTTCCTTAATTTCAACTTTAAATTCCATAGTTTATATGGGTAAAATTCAAGAAAACCGGGGACGGTAAATACAAGTTAAATCTTGAAATATTTGTTATGTATGGCTTCCTACTCCCTTTATAATGCTCTAAAAATTGAGGATTCTGTATTTTAATGCATATTTTCTCTATAATTCTCGTTTAAAAGTTGCGTGTTTTGACATCAATTTTCAAATATTTCGTCCATTTTGATTGTGCTGTTCGTTGTCAATGGCTGTTGTTGATGTCATGTCACTTTTCCACCAATGTTGTCATATTTTTAAAAAATATTGTTTCTTGCAAAATTTTGTAAAAATATAAATATTATCTACAAGAAAATTTTATTTTGTAAAAAAGAAATTATTTTGTTTTTCGTTGCGTTGAATTAGGTTTGATCAGGTTAGGTTTGATAGTAACCGTATATACTGTTTTCAAAAGTAGGTATATTTTTATTGTTCTTTATTAGGAAAAACTGTATTATTAATACGTATCACGTTTATACTGCAGAGCTCCGACAGAATGTCTCAGTTTTGATTTCTGATATTTTCATTATATCGCTTTTATTCCTGAAACTATATCATTGCCGAGACGGGCGATAAAATCACCCGTAATGATTATATATTCATCATTTAAGGTCTCTTTTATTACAGTCTGAAGATGTTCGTAGAAGTTTTCGCTTGTGGTGGTATCTCTGTTGTTCTCTAGTGCATAGATTGCTATCACATTCACAGGTTTGACATCCAGCTTAACTTTTACACTTACTATTCACTCAGAGGTATATTTACATTCTTATACTTGGTGTAAAACATTTCTGTGTACTAACAGAGCGACTCCTTTTTAGCTCTGGTTTCTTTTGCAACATCACTGGAAATCATCAGATAGTCATCTAGCATAATTTGACCTTTTCTTTTTTTCTTCGCCTCTTGTAGTGCACATACGTCTATATTTTTTCTACAAGCTCTCTTTTGTAATTTCCTGCTCTCTTGTGTTTAGAGACTTTACGTTCCAAGTACCGATGTGAAATATATTTCTCGTTTTCCATAAATTCGTTGTCTTCTTTCTCACGTTAGTCGTCACAATGAAATCATTCAGGTTTCGATGCATAATCCTGTTTCTATGAGCTGTATGGCTTTAAAGTCTATCAGTAGGGGTGCTAACCTAGCTGTAGACCCCCTCCTCCTTTATCCGGGCTTGGGGCCGGTAACTTCCCACTTATAAATATTGTGTCTCCGATTCGTCTTTTTAATATAAACTCTTGCTGAAACTATTTCGGCATTGATAATTGCTTCTTCACTACTCAGTTGTGCTTTATTTTTTAAGAAAGGTAGTTGAATTAATTTAATATTTTGTAAATCACAAATATTGTCAATTCGAAAGCCTTTATCCACCATTATCGCATCTCTATAAGGTTCTAATAAATTAATAAGCTTACTCTTTTCAAAAATTACCTTATGATCTCCTTGAAAGAGATCATTAAGGACGATAAACTTGCAATAATTTGTTGTAAGATTGCTGATTATCTAGGGAGCGGCTACGAGTAAATAGTATAGTCTACAAGGATTTGGACCACTCATCATCAGAGAGAGATAGTTTTGTTTTCTGCAGTTTTTCTTTTATTGATAACACAATTTTTACACTTAATTTAGAAAGGATATAAATATTTTGATTAGGAGATTTAGAATAATATTTGGATTTTGAGATTTCAACTAATATTGTTTGTACCAGTAATTTTGAACGTTCACGTACATAGAACAAAATTTTGAGAATCATTATATGAGATTTTGTTTATTGAAAACATTTGAGTGTGAATTTTATTTCATTAATTTTATTTCAATATAAACGTTAGATCCTATACGTTTTTTTATTATTCCGGCATTCTTGGACCTTAGCATAGATAGCATAGATATTGAAGCACGAATAGAACCCTGAGATAAGAGAATTATAAAGTGTGATAGAATCATAGTCATATCATTTAAATAATTTTAATTAATTAATTAGCTAATTAATTGCTTGGCGCACTAAGACTTTAAATATCACAATAATATACAGTATAGGTAAAAGTTTATGGTCGGTATGGACCTTACATGAGATGGAGTGAGAAACAACTGTTTAAAAAGAGAGAGATATATTAGGTGTCCGCCTTTTATATCACCGAACATAAATGAGTGGATATGGAGTGGATATAATAAAAAGGGGAAATTCAACGTTGCCAAACTTATTGGTTTTATTCATCGAGCAATAAGACAAAAGAGGGAATCTAATCGTTATGAAAAGGAGACCAAAAAAGTGGCCTCTGATGGCGGGCATATCCGGAAATGCAAAGGCGCTAAATTTAAATTTTCCAACACTTGTTAACAATACCTGTAAAATATTTTTCAGACAAGAAAGTTTTAATTAAACACTAAAAAGTGACACAATTGGTAAAAAACTTCAATATTAATAAAATTTCATGTGACAGTTGGGACAAACAATAACATAACCAAACTAAATTTGACTTCTTAAACAAGGAAAGAGACAGTCTATCCTTGTCTAAAGTGGCCTCTCAAGATGGCACTTCCTGTCTATCAATATGTTTACCCCTTCTACCTTTACATTCCCTCTTTTGTCTTATTGCTCGATGGTTTTATTTGACCTGTTGTCTTTTTCGCATTTGAACAATGCTCCAAGATAATGAAATTTGGGCGAAATGGATTTAAATGGCAGCTTATTGTTTTTTATTGGGAATATGCCACAATTTTACTTTACAATAAGTGTAATATAACATTTTGATTTATACTTCGGAAATCGTTTTATATAAATAAAATTTATTAATGCTTGGTATTTTAAAAACGATTTCCGAATTAAAAATCTAAACATCAAAATAAGTTTATTTTAAAGTGACATTATGCCTTATTTCCAATAAAAATATTAAACTGCATATAAATAAAAAAGCTTCGTACAAAACTATTTGCCAACGTGGCGTGTCGCGTGGTCAAATCACCGAATCAAAGCGTAAACAGGTATTTACGAATAGAGGTGGGTCATTGACGTCGCAAAACCGATTTTCGTAAACAAGTAACTATGATTTTTTAATAGTAGTTTCAAGTAAGAAACTACCTACATAAACGAACATAATGGCTATTATCGTTTATCTGTATATTTATTGAAGTGAAGGAAACTAATAAAAGATTTTATTATAACTTGAAAACTAAACTAAACAATACAAATAGTAAATCGTACCTACGTTTACATTACACGTTATTATTAAATCACGAATCGTCTAAATTGACATTTAAAAACATAAGTTTTTTTACTTTACTTCTAATTAACCGTGTTTTTCTTTTATTTAAAATTAAACCTGATTTTGAACATGTGTTCACATTTACAATACTTTATGAATATAGTGGTTAAGTTAGGAGATACATGGCGATGGTTTTTCCACCATTGTAATGGACTCTCGCTACAGGTGTACGTTTAGATGAGTCATGTGTTTAATTATAGAAGTAACCAGCTTCTTAACTCTTTCTTTTGTTTTTTTAGCGTCATTTTTATCAGAAAATCCCTGCACTTTAAATCGTGAATCCATAAACGTACATAATGACAATATGCCACTGTATTCTATCCCTCTAAATCTTTTTGCTAAACCCGAGATTACTAATTATCCCGTAATTAGTAATAAAAACCCGTACTACGTCGGATACTAACTATGGATGTAAGGTTACTGTTTGCTAAAATTTTATTGCAAGATTTTTGCAGGCAGCGTACCAGAACAATCACTGAACTATCATTCAAGTATTTTTGGCCACTCATTGTACTTGTTATTTCTTTAAAAGGCCGTAAAATTTAGGACAATTACGAAAAAATAATCCAGTCTTCATTATTTAGATTTGGTCTAAGTCTAAGTCTGTATTAACTGATACCAATGTGGAACGGATTGCCTCTTCTAACTCCGTCATTCTTTCTAACATGTAATAGGTGAAGTTCTACCTAGTTTCCACGTCTTGGATTGGCCATTTGGGATCTTTGTTATGTTGTAATTGATACTTTAAAAGCGTTTCTGAAGATAAGGTACTTTTTTGAAATGTGTTTTTTGCCGAATTGTCGAAAAAAAGACTTTTTATTTTATCTATTTGTACACGACAGCATTTAAGTGCGTCCTCCATCAATAAATTTACGTATGAGCAAAACAATTTAAATGTTTTCATTCCAAAACATATTTAATAGCTATGACCATATTTGAGGCATTATCAGTTACTGCAAAATTTACTTTTTGTTTTAGACCCCACTGAATAATAATTTCACTAATTTTAAAAGCGATGTTTTCTGAATTATGGTTTCCAGAAAAATGGCAGCAGTCTAATTAAACCGTGTTAAACTCTAAATTTTCGGTTAAATTCGTTAAAATCAACTAGTTGATGGTTGAAGCTGGTTACTTCTATAAAAAAAAAAGAAAAAGAAGATTATACTATTGAAAATTAACTAGTACAAGAAAAAGAAACTGATAAAGATGATAAGTCCATGTAAATGTAAGTACTATTTGTATTGTTTAATTTATTTTTCAAGTTATAATAAATATATTCTTCGTTAGTTTCTTTCACTTCAATACTTATACACATAAACGATAATAACCAATATGTTTGTGTACTCGCTAATTTGAATACTGGTAAACAATCAACTAGTTACAGTTTACGAACAACGGTTCCGATAAAAATTTAAAAAACTAAAGGACCCACCTCTAGTTTCTTAGCTTTATGAGGATCGGAACCACAGAATATGTAAAATATCTCTGATCGGAACTAATCGTCTCACTAACAGGCAAAATGGGCGTCAAGAAGATTTATGGAGGGGAGACCAAGGGGGAATATGATTGTTATCTTTGTCTATTCGCTGAAAATATGATTTTATATCTGTGTTAGATATCCTGTTAAGTTTTACCATACCGACCATAAAATTTTACCAACACTGTATATATATATATATATATATATATATATATATATCCTCCTCCTCAATCCTTTAGCCCTTGTCAGGG